CGCGCTTATGGTGTGTATATATGTTTTCATTTAGTTCGTACTTCGTTCATACAGTGTCGTCAATGTCTGTAGCTGTTGTTACCTGGCACATCACACCGTACGGGTGACTGAGTTGGCAACTCTGCGAATCCGACATAATGCGAAATACCTTTCTTGGGGAAGATCCCATACAACGGATGAGAAATTATCTGTCTATCAAAGTGCTGTTCAAAAATCGAGTTTACAAACACCCATCAGCCTTCAACTATGAAATTTAATGTGAGATTGGTGCACCATATTGCAGTGACAGTTGTTTTATTATGTTAAAAAGGCCAGAAAGAACATCGTTTTGATTCTGCAACATGAGGCATATTTTCTCAGTGTAATTCGGTACATGTCCTATTTTCCTACATATAATATTCGCCTTGACTAATTTACGCGCACTGGTAAGGCAAATTTGGACTCCCTTTCCAAAATAGAAGTTCTATAAACACATTTCATCCCAAGTGCCTTATGATTACTTTCCTGACCCCCTAATTTCAATTTTAGTCGTCATAATCGATGGGCCATGAATGATTTGCATCAATACTGGAAATTAAAATCGAGTGTGTCCAGTCCCAGCCGTTTTTTCTGTATGAATACTTATATGAAATTCTGTATGAAAACTGTAAATAATCTCTGTATGAAATTTCCAATACCAAAAATCACCGCAATGAGAGCTGCTGAATTCAAACGTATACTAGGTTAGTGTGTAATTGTTAAGTGTTTCTCAACTGTTTAAAGTCTATTTTATCGTTATTTATACAGGTTGTTTCCTGAGTGTTTATATCACTCGAACGACAATATATATCGCAGGCAACAAACATGTTGGGGGACGCTCTACTTCACCCACTTGGATTAAGAGTTCAGTATATACAAATAAACTCTCCTGTGTTAAAAGGGGACTTGACGTTTCAAAAGATTATTGAGATACGTCCAACGTATCTGCTTAAAACTGCTGACAAACTTTCACAACTCATACATTTACTTGTGCGATTACTAATTCTCGCCCACTACCAAAACTACCACGGTCCATCATAACGGTATATAGTTTCCCGTATAACGCCGCAGTTGTTCGTAGCATTTCTATTCACTCAATATCAGCCGTATGGAAATCATTCTATCAACTCGGAAAACGTGTTGTAGGTGCCCGCCCCCAAGCGGTGGTTTTAATGTAGAATGGTGTGCAATGCACCTGCTGTGTAACCAAACTACCACAAAGGTTGCACCGTGAAAACGGCTCAGTGCAGATACCGGCACTCGTTGCCCTTGTTGCATTTTCCTAATGAAGCAAAGTATCGACAGGGTACGGGTATGGAACTTCGCTCGCCACTGTACGGGATAAGGGAAGGGGTACGAAGGACTGTTAATAGCTGAAATGTATGGTTGATGTGATGTGCGAATGTGTGTATGTGTATGTGTGAGAGTATACTTATACTCATACTCGTACTCGAGTGCAATAAGCAGACAGTTTAAAAGTGCTGAGTTACGCATGGGCTCGAGTGACAGGCACTTATCAAGACATACATTGAGAAAAGCAGTACTAAAACTAAGTTGACTAAAAACAGCGACACGTTTTATAACTATCCGCGTGCGGACTGTAATATGCTATATATCATAAGCATAACGCGGTTGTGAACAATTGCACTTAGATTGCTGAACACCATATGCGTATGACGATTGAGGATACGGACAGCCATGCAAACAGAGATACAATTTAGTGCATATATTCACAACACAAGTAGGACGCCAAACACAAAACCCAATATTCAACAATACAGGCATGATTAGAGCCTCAATACCGCGTACATTGGAAGCAATAAAACTCCCGTAGACATTCAGACAAACTATCACCAGAAACACTGTTTCGAAAGAAAGCATAAATAAATAGACATCTAGACACACCAGGTACAAAGTCTCAGATAACCCTACGGGTACAAGACCACAGAACGTTTCGAAAGCAAGTATAAATGCATAGACATTCAGACACACCAGGTACAAAGCCTCAGATAACCCTACGGGTACAACACCACAGAACGTTTCGAAAGCAAGTATAAAGACATCTAGACACAACAGGTACAAAGCCTTAGATAACCCTACGGGTACAACACCACAGAACGTTTCGAAAGCAAGTATAAATGCATAGACATTTAAACACAACAGGAACAAAAGCCTCAGATAACCCTACGGGTACAACACTACAGAACGTTTCGAAATCAAGTATAAATGTATAGACATTTAGACACACTAGGTACAAAGCCTCAGATAACCCTACGGGTACAACACCACAGAACGCCCACATAGATAAGCAAGCATAAGCCATGCATGGGATGCTCTTCAAAAGTGTCCCAAACAGCCACAACAAAACCAAGTACAACTCTGTACAGACTGCCGCATACGCAGACTATAACTCTGAAAAGGGTAGCAGTCGCATCCGTTCAAGTGCATTCAATCATATACTGACATTCTACTTAGAGTCTCAGTCGTATTCGCTCGAGTACAAAACACCATATATAGACATGTCCTATTTTCAACGTCCTGTGCATCTTACCCGCTTCGCTTGCGCCCTCCTCTGCTGCCACCGGATTGGATCCTGGGCCTTTTGCCCCTGGCCTCAGACACGACCAGGAATCGGCCGATACTCACCTGTAGGCAATGCAGCAGAGATGGCAAAAGGGGGTGAGCTGAGAGAGGCTAGGCTGTAACACGCATGAGTGGCCAATGCGAGTGCATAGTGAGTCATACGCGCAACAGGGCACATGTTGACGGATTGTCTCCATACGATAGTCATGGACGTGTGGGTGACCGATGTGGATATTTGATAGTTATTCAGATCAGAAAACAAAGACTTGTGTAGAAAAGCGACGGTTTCATAGCCGCATGCTTGTTTGATATAGTGGTGTCAGTTGTGACGGATTGTCGTCAACGATAGCCATTGACGCGGGTGACCGATGTGGATATTTAATTGTTATTTAGACCAAAAAACAAAGACCAAAGACATGTAGAAGTTCCATACTCGCTTGTTCGCTAGCATGCTCGCTTGATATAGTGATACCAGCATATGTTTGCCCCGAGCTTGACTATTAAAAGTACTAATTCACCTTGACATATAAATTCGAACTTGACAATTGCGGCCTAATGACTGAAGATCACGTCTTCACAAATGCATGTAATGCCAGGATTTATATTTAATGAGAGTGAATAAGCGTGCGCAGACACGGCAAGTCTCCAACGCTCGCATATAGCAAGACAATAGGGCATATAAACAACCTGCAATGAATACACACGCACACGCTATTGCTGGAAACGAGCCCATCAGTTAAAGGCAGCAAGCACTAACCACATGTTCTACATGTTACTCGTCGGGGGCGTAGTGAAGTGCCGATATATACACATGCATGCACACAATAGCATACATGACACACCCCCGCGCATACTGCAAGAACACAGTTAGTCTCTGACTGCACTCGTCGGGGGCGTAGTGAAGTGCCGATATATACACATGCATGCACACAATAGCATACATGACACACCCCCGCGCATACTGCAAGAACACAGTTAGTCTCTGACTGCGCATCAGTAACTAGCACACGCCGGTGCGCAACACATGTTTGTATATACATGGGTGCTAACCTGTATTGGTGTACGAAACACATCGAATGCCTGAGCATGAATACTAGCGCATGGCAATCCACAAATAACGACACCGATCTGATCATGGGCACTCATTCGCATCTGTACCTGTCACAACTCCCATCACTCTGCATAAAACACTGAACCATGCCTGCAGATGATAACCAACACGTACCTGCACATTGATGCTCAATGCTTTCTCGAGCATCTCCGCGTTCTCCACCGTTACAAACGCCGTTCCATTCGACGTGTTCAGTGACACGTGCTTGACCTTGCAGTCTTTGAATATACGCGTGAGGTTGCTCTGTTCGTAGTGTGACGGTATGTTCTTCACAAACGCCACATACGCCTTGCTCGGTGTCAGGATAACGGGCGGTGGCTCCTCCTCCTGTGCCGGGGCTTGTGCAGCCTCTGCCCCCTCCTTCGCATCCCCGCGCGCGTCTCTTGGTGGCTGTGGTTGTGTGCGAGTGTGTGGTTGTGCTTGTGACGGTGTCTGGTTCTTATTTTTACTGGGCACCGCCTTCACAGACTTGCCATCTCCATTGGCATCTGCAGCGATTGCCTTCCTACTCCTCGGCGTATTCCTGGTCTTCTCCTTAGCCGACCTTTGTTGTTGTTGTTGTGGTTGGTGTTGCTGTGGTTGTGGTTGTTGTTGTGGTGGTTGTTGTTGTGCCTGTGTTTGCACGCCATCCGTGTCTGCGTGTGTTTCCCCCCCTTCACCCGTATCATTCTGTGTGTTGAGTGTTTGCTCGACACTCCTGCTCGTCTCAGCCTGGGTGCTCGTGCTGGCATTTGGTTGCCCACTGCTTGTGTTATTCTTCTTATTCTTTCTACTATTATTACTGCCTGCGACATCCTCATTGTCTCCGTTCGGCAAAACGGTACTGTCGCGGTCTTCTATACTAATATCAGCCTTCGGTGTCCCGCTATCGCCCGTTGTCTGTGTCTGTGTCGGTGTTGGTGTCTGTGTTTGTTCCGCTGAAGGCGTGTTCTGTGGCTGTGCCGCCGGTGGTTTATCTCTGTTCATATTATTACTAATGTGTGCGTTGAGGTTGGCCGTAGTGGTTGCCATCGTTTGCTCCAGTTTCGCTATGAGCGCACGATTAGCCATTAGTTTCCTCTCAAAGGCACGCCGTTTGTTTGCATGTTTCTTCCGTTTACTGAAGTCTTGACCTGTGAATATAGAATCAGTATAAACAGCCGTGGCAAATGGTGAGAAACAGAGATACATACGAAAAATTACGCGTCCATATCTGTTAATATCATAGTTCATAGGTCTTATTATCGCCCAGTACCAACTTGTGACCAGAATAGCCCAAATAGCCAATATACAAAATGTATACATATATATATATATATAAATACATATAATTATATATATATATAAACTTAAATATATATAATTATATATATATATATATTTATATATATATATTTATATATATATATTATATATATATATAAACATAATATATATATAAATTTATATATATATATATA